CCCCGGCGCGGACCCACGGAGCCCACCCTGAGGCCGGGCGCGGTGCTTGTTCCAACTTTGCGGCCGCCCTGAGGGCTCCGGGCCGTCCCGGGGAGCGCGGCCGAGGGCAGCCGCCGCCCGCACCTCGGAGCCCGCTGCGGAGCCCGCTGCTGCCACCTGCGGGCGGAGAGGAAAGGAGGCGCTTCGGGGAGCTGCGCGGCCGGCGGGCGCCTTCCCCGCTCCTCGCCTAGAGGTGAATGAAGGCCGAGGAGGCCGCGTCAGGCGGACAGCTTGCCATTGCCCGGGCAAATGGGCTTGGGCCCTACTGAGAAAAGGGCTTTTGTGCGGGACAGTTTGTGCTGGGTCCACAGTAAGGATCCCCAGGGATTGCTTTTTTAAAAAATAAAGATTATGATGTATCTGAATGGCTAAAGAGAAGAGATCGAATGGGGCCCGAGGACTGTTCTGCAGAAGTCTCGGCAGAATTCGCAGAAATGGTTTAGCCCACGAAAGCCGAAACAGGATTTGACTTGCTAAATGTATGAATGTGGATGTTTTATTACTGTTCTGGGAGTGTCTTTTTAAATCTTCCCATCTGTAAATGAACCTTTCTTCTAAAAAGTGCTTTCAACCTTTAATGAAATTCCAGGAGCCAATGTGTGCCCTGTGTTGCCCACTCAAGGCTTGACAGGCACGAGGTACTCTACAGTCTCGGGTGACATGGAAGCCAGAGGTATCCAGTAGCAAGTGTTTCTTGCAGTTATTATTCTGCCTTTACACACAGATTAGGTGTCCTATAACTCCTTGATGGTAAGTACTGCACTTTCCCAAACAAATAAAGCTGTACTCTGTGCTAGCGCTGAATATTGAAATAGATGTTGTCGTATTGTGAGGCGCATTCTATTACATTTTTAAATTGACAGCAATAGTGCACTTGTGTGGATCTACCCGTAATCCCAAAGTGGTTTCCTTCCATCAGCAACTGCCTCGGTAATGTCTGTGCGTGCGGGTAAAAGGAAAACATAAAACTATCTGCAGCTGACTGCGTCACTCCCTCATCTGTAGCCCATGGGCCAAGTCCTTCCAGTACTTACCATCCTTCTTGTAAGCGCTTGGGACTCTGTTTTCTTGACCTAGGAGGTGCTTGACTGGAAAGTGAAATTGTAGTCCTGAGACAAACCGAGTACTAGATGGGAAATAGTGAATAAAGACTCCAGGTTCTTCAGCCTACAGATGGACACTCCGGGATGTGCTGTGTTCTACACCATTAGCATCCCCATGGTGATGGAGCCCCACTTGTCCATAGTGGTGACCTGCACATTCATGGAATCTGGACGGGTTGTCTACCCTTCCTTGCTTATTCCCTGTTCCGTTTCCCTGGGATCACCTTCATAATTAACTACTGTGCTGAAATTGCACCAGGGCCTGCCTCCTGAAAATCCCACCCTGAAGCAATCTCCAAGGGCCTTTATTCTTGATGGGTCACCTGCCCAGTGTTCTCGGAAGAGTGAACCATAAATGTTATCAACGTTGAACATGTACTGTGTGCACCTACTATCTTACTGCAAAATTTACCTCTCATTCATTCATCACAGCAAACCCATGAGATAGCACGATGCCTCACACGGTGACTAAAAGAGAAATGGAGTGTTTTGACCGGAAGCATACATGTTCTCAGTGGCAGAATTAACTTTGAAGGCACCTCTGTGGGACACCAACATGCTTCCAAGCCACTGTGTCATCCTCCCTTATGGCGATGTCACTATACTTCTCATTATTTGGGAATTTTATCGAAGAATAATGACAGAAATATTACAAGGAAAAGCCACATGTATTTTGTTGCCTCTAAATTCACATCACAGCCTTTAAATACAGTGTGGCTAATGCCTGACTCAAAGAAAGTCACCCTAGTTAGAGACACAGCCTGAAATTCCACTCCTTAAGGAGGCTGTGCCCTTCTTGTTCCATTTCCTGTGTCCCTGGAACCGAGTGCGTTAGTGAAAGAAGCATTAATCACAACCCAGAGACGCGCGGCTGGTTCAGAGAAGTGCATGGATGGGAGAGATGTCTCAAATTGGAATGTCGATTGCATTTTTATTCAGAAAGAAGGTCATAAACTATTCAGCTCTAAGGTACTCAGGGCTTTCCTTGACTAGCCTGATGACATAACTATTGTTAATTACCTTGCTTCTGTGGGGAAAGTATGTCACACATTCTACACCTCCATCTGGCTCCCCTTGGCAGCTTGCTTTAAAGTACTTCTCAAGGTTGTTTCTCACCTATTATCTCATCTATCTTTCAGGACAACTCAGGGCCTGAAGTCGGTGCGTAGACACTGAGCGAATGCCAGTCTGCCAACACTGGCTTCAGCTGGAGCCAAAGCCCAAGGCTGGAGCTGAGACCCTGAGTGGTTTCCCTCTCAGTTCTACTCTGTCCCCTCCATAACCGTGTGAAATAAGGACAGCAGTTACCTTACAACCACAAAGCCAGCTCTCCTTGTTTGCATGATAATAGCTATTAGGAAAATAAAAGTATTTTTAAATGTTGAGAGTAAATAAAAAGAAAATAATCATTCAGTACTTCTGTCCAGAAATAATTTCCAACATTTTTGCACAAATTGGTTTTTACACAAACAGGATATTTTGCATAATTTAACTTTCTTTTCACTTAACGTTGTACCAGGAACATATATCCAGATCGTTAATTATGAAACTCAAGGACTCTGCAGACAATTTAGTTTCCTAATCCACACTCTGCTATTTACCAATCATGTAATCTTAGAGAAATGTGCCTTTTATTCTTACCTATAAAATGGGAGCAATAATAATACATGTATTTTGTAGGGTCATTGTAAATGTTAACATATGCAAAGCTTTCAGAACAGTGCATATAAACTTAATTACTCCTTTAAGATTATTATCATTATTCTGCATACCATAGAGCTTCAATATCTTACAAAATACCAACTATCCCAATTATAATAGACCCTTGACTTACGAAATTAATTAGTTCTCGAAGGTTGGTTGTAACTCAAGTTGGTTAATGAAGGCTCAGGCTCCTCTACACAGCTTTCAAAGTCTCTCTCCTGTGTACATGCAGATCTCAGTGTCCTTAGAAAGACTGTGGCCCGGATTTCTCAACCCCACACAGGAAAGGATGCTGTCATGTTCCTTCCAGAACTCTCTAAGGGTTAAATCTGTATCTTAGACCATCTGGAAGCACAAGCAGCCGACACTCAGGTTGTAACTCAAGACTTTGGTAGTAAGTAAAAACTAAAATTCTGGTGGTACCCCAAGTTGTTTATATGTTGGGTTGATCATTACTAGAGAGTCCACTGTATTTATAATTTCCCTCATATCTATAGTTTTTTTTGTTAGAATAATGACCCCCTAAAATGTCCACTGCTATAATTGGAACCTATGACTATGCTGTGAAACTGTCACCTCCTTTGATACAACAGATTTTTCAAAATTGATTAAGAGCCTTGAGATGGGTGAGTATTTAGGATTATCCTGGTGGGCCTGATTCTCATCACATGAGCCTTTAAGAGCAGAAAATATTCCAAGGTGGAAAAGGGCAAAGGTAATGAATAGCACCACAGCCATGGGTCCAGTGACAGGGACAGCACAGGTAAGGGCCCCTCCCTGTGAGCTGTGGAAGGAGTCTCTCCATGCCCTCAGCTTTGTAGTAGCCTGGACACCCAGGCCAGACTTCTGCAATCCCCACCCAGAAGATGACAAGTATGTATCATCCCAAACCACCAAATTCATGGCAATATAACAGCAATAGGGAACCAAGATAGCTTGCTTCCAATGTTTCAATATTAGAAATTTTATAAATAATTTGTCAGCATGTTTTGGCTTGTGTTATCATTTGTGATTCAAAGAAATGAAAGAAATTATAAGGCATAATTCCAAATTTCCTCTGGCGGCATTCTCAGTTTATACCTGTGGGCAATGTACCTGCTATTTGTCATAAGCTTTTACTGGTAATAGATATTATCACTTTTTTAAAACAATCTTTTTTCTTTCTGTTTCCATTTGGATTCCCTAAATGTAACAATTATCAAATACCTGGTAGAGGTGATAAAATGGACTGTACTACAAATATATCACATGACGTTCATCTTCCTAGGATGATTCCTCTGGAAAGTTTAATTCTATTTTCTAATAAAGTTATCTAGTGACAGATTCCATAGTCTAGAACCATAGCAATACAAATCCATTTATCTCTGTAGCCAAACTGCTGCCCTTGAGAGAAAACTTGGAAGAGAAATTAAACTGAAATGACAGATTTGGGAAAGAACTGGAGCTGTAGTCACAGCTATGCCTGGCCAGACTTGTATTGAATGTGGGTTATGTCCTCCTGAGCTAAATGGCTTCAATTTAAGTAAATGATAAATACAACAGCAGGTCGGGTTCAGGGGACCAACAAGTCGGGCTCTCCTCTTTTGAAATCTGAAATGATACACATGAAAACTTTGGGGAACTGATGGTGCCACAAAGGGAAAATCCCACACCATAAAATGATTTAGGGTGCAAAATTATTTAAAAATATTGTATAAAATTATCTCCAGGCTATGTGTATGAATTTGAATGAAGCATAAACTTGGGGTCCCATTAACAAGTTACCTCATTCTGAATATACAAATATGCACAAATGTGAATTTTCAAAATTCAAAATCAGAAACACGTCTGGTCCCAAGCATTTCTGTTAAACGATACTCAACCTGTACTGGGATCTGAGTCCCTATTTGCTGGTGATCCACTTTATGCATTAAGTTGAATATTTTTAACATTTCAATCACAGTAGGGGTTATTTTAAGCATGACAATATAATTATGTCACAAACATATGAACCTCAGATATAATTTTAGTAAATTATCTTAGAATACATGTCATCTTAGAAATGAAAACATTTGTCATTAATCTAGAAAGGCCATATTTTAGTAATTTTATTTTCCTCTAATTTGTGCTGATATTTTTTAACACGAAGAATCAAGAAGTAAGGGTAATGATAAGCCCAGTGGTGCAGTTACTATTGCTGTGGAACAGCCCACTCCAGACATGGTGTCCAGTCACTGTGCTCTGCTTGGGGCTCCGCGGGCCAGGAATTCCAAGGGGCACTGGAGAAGTTGGTCTCCGTGCTGTAGTGGCTGCGGCCCACACTGGGAAGACGCCGGGTCTGGAGGGGGCTTCATGCTGGGCAAGGGACCCCGGAGGAGATTCTCAGCCACACACAAACATACACACATGTGCCAGAAAGACTTCGAGACCAGACCAGGAGGGCTGCTGCCACAGCCCCTACCTGTGACACCTGTGGTGTGCCACTGACTGCAAGAATCACGTAGCCCTCTCCTCCGTGCCCTTCAGTAGTAACCAGAAGTTTAAGCCCACCTTGTTTGCAGGGGGGCAACCTAGAGCCCCCCTCACTGGTGACAGAACATTAAGGAACGTGAAGGCCAGGTTTCAAATTATGTGGGCTTTTGAAATACAGTTCAAGGAAACTTGCTGTCTTAATTAGGGGAACACTCCTGCAGCAACAGCATTCTGGAAGGCAGAGGCGGGAGGATCAAAATGTAGAGCCCGGTCTGGGCAGCACAGACAACTAGCAAGACTCTATCTCGTGACTTTTTTGGGGGGGGCGGTACCAAGGATCCAACTCGGGACCTTGCACTTGTGAGGGCAGGTGGCAGAGCCACTGAGCTAAATTCCCAGCAGCTAGCAAGACTGTATCTCAAAACACAATGAAAACAAGACAACAACAACAAGGAAAGCTCTGGGATGTAGCTCAAGGCAATATCCCAGCGTTCAACCCCCAGTACCATAAATAAATAAATAAATAGTTAAGTAATTTAGGCATCAGTGCTATTGTGTTAAAATGTAAAGTTATCTTTATATTAATATTTCAGATAGTCCATAATTGAACATAAAAGAAATCACTGTTCTGAGTTAACGGGAATTGAATTTAAAAATAAAATTAATAACTGGACTTTGGGTTTATATTCTGTGGACAAGGCAAATAGAGAAATCCTATTCTATCCACCTAAATAAAAGTTAAAAATTGGAATTCATTTGCTAAAAGTATGAGATAAGGAATCAAGTATTTAAACCACTCTAGAATGAGACTAAACAAATGGCTAGGTTTCAGTGAGGCAATAGCAATGCACTCTACATTTTCCCTGTGTAATTAAGATGTATTACATAGCTTGAAAGTATTTTTCCAGATAATGTAGTTACTGTAAAATTTCTTTATTTGCTGTGCATTACATAGTTTATTCTTCTACAACCCTAATAAACACCAATTTAATAGAATATTAGGCTGTGGCAAAGAGAAATGCTAGGGAGATAGATGTGGTACAGTTACTTAAAATAGGATTAATTCAAAATTCTTATACTGGGGTATGTTTTGAGCTTCTTGAGGAAAGAAAGATGAGTCCCAAGCACAACTGCGTCTTCTTGATAGTGTAGATGTCCGTAATAGAAACATAATATTCAAATCAAATATTTATCTTCACTTTTTGAGAGAACAGGGTGTGTCCTTCAGTCAGATGCTGAATTCAAATTGTCCCTTTAAAATCTGAAGGGAATGAAGGAGGCGGCCTTTGGATTAAGCTGGATCCTTCAGCATGGTCTCTGCTCTTCAGGACCCACAGCCCATTCGGGGACTGACGGTAAAAACAGTGATTCTCACCTACTTCTTGGGCTTTGCTGGGCCTCTGCTGGCAAATGTGGGGCATCCTTGATGACTCCTCGTAGTGTTCTCTGGAGGGAGGGACACCGAGGCGCCAAGTCTCAAAGCATCTTTGGCTGCATGTATTCCTTTTTGCCAAGACTACCTGAGCACGAACTTTAAATCACATCAGCTTCTCATGAGTGACAATACTGTTGGGCTGATAACCAGCCCTCTGAGCCTTACCAGACTACCAGGGGCATCTCCAGCCAGCACTGCCTGCCACGGGGACTTTTAGGGTACTCCTCACCTGTGACATAGAAGTTCGGGGGACCCTGAAGAAGTCCACCCAGGCTTCCCTCTGTCCAACCACCTTGCCAACTTTACCTCCATACAGAGATTTCATCCTGAACCAGACCTGGGGAGAAGAGACCGTGAAACACCTTCTTCTGTGTCAGTTATTCTTACCCTGCCACTCAGATGCCTTCCCTCAGCTCTCCTCTCCCTGCCAGTCAGGACTTTCCTTGACCCATATCATCTTTCTTCCAAGAGGAAACAGTGACAGAGGTGCAGTACAGGGAGAGAGCAGCCAGCAACAAGGAAACAAAACTGTGACACTTGTTAACAGCTGCAGTTAGGTGACAGAACTCAGATTCCACCTTTAGGGACAAAGATTCAGAAGCCGAGGAGAGACTCAAAAGATTACTGTAACAAAAAGAAAGATTATTAAGAGCCAAGCCAAGCTGCACATCAGCAGGTTGGGGCTGAAGGCCAGGGCAGTTCTGAGGAGGTAAAAGCCATTGCCACCAGGGTGGAGCAGACCCATGGTATTTAAGCCTGCTCAGGCCAAAGTGACACTACTTGTTGTCAGCAAATAGTGACAACAGCCATGTCCCAGACAGGTTGC